AGACATCCCCCCTCCTCCTCCTCTTTTTGGGTTTGCCATGCTGGGTGACCCTTTCCCCCTTGTCAGTCAAGCCTGAGTAGCAAATCGGGAGCTGCGTATCAGTGAAACAAGGAAGCGGAGCGAGGGCTGTTGAGAAAAGGGAGCGCCGCTTGCCTCGATCCTAACAGCCCCCCGTCACAGAAAACTAAAAAATCGTAAGGTTCCCGAAAGCCAATTTTGGTGGACACCTATAGACTGCGCACTGATTCTTGAGATGTAAGACGCATGTTTACAGATACACAAATGCATTTAAATACAAGTGCAGTGCAAAAAAAAAAGCATTTATATGGTGCTATTCAACAAACCACCACACATACAACCTCAAATTCATGCAGCCATACCATCCACTTTCCGCACTGCATGCACCCGTGACCGCTATCAGCCATGCTTTGTACCTGTCAAGTGCTGTCCTTTTTCCCTGTACCCAAAGCCCTGCTCACTACATGAGAGCTCTCACATCAAAGCTTCGCTGAGCTCCACACGCACAGATGAAACACCCTCTCACTCCGGCTGCCTCTCTCCCTGCTCCTGCACATTAGACACATTTCATTTCATTACAACGCCACTGGAAAAATAGAGGTGATGCTGTCTTAAAGGGACATCTTATTTACTCTCGCACTTGTGTACTCACTCACACACGGGCACACACAGACACCGCACACTGTCTGCTTTCCTTTTAAATAATGTCTCTGGAAGGGAGAATAATGATCTGTTACCATCAACCTTGTGGTGAACAAACGGCATCTGATTTGGCCATCAAGAGGGCACATCAGTATCATCAAAGACTGTTGGCAGTACTGTTAAGACATCACAGTATGGATTCAGTTTCATGCTAATAAATTGCAAATAATGCTTAATATTATGATATTTGTATTACGTTTTACAGCCTGTATGTCATCTTTCTTTCTACCTTGTGGATCGCAATGTGGATTCATGCAGGGCGATGATGGAGGAAGGGTTTCATCATGATGATGAGACGAGCCCTGGTTCCCGTAGCAGCGGCAGCCTTTGTTGGGCTATCTGGTGTGGGACAGGCCGACAAAGGAGCGCTAAGGAGCATCCAGAGCAGGGTGATGGGGGTCGGGGCAACCCTCTTGACCGCTGGCCCCAGGGCACGGACTCAGTGTGGTTGTGGCACAGGGGCACCCACGGGGCATGGGAAGAGGCTTAGCCTGCATACTGCAGCAGAAAGACAAAACTGACCCGACGCTAGAAGACTGTGTGTGTCAGTTTTATTTGAGACGGTGTGTGTGTATAGGACAAAGACAGAGTGAACTAGTGTTAGCAATGTGTGTGAGAGAGATTTAGTAGCCTAAAAAGGAGGGTGACCCAAGGTTTGCAATGTGCATTTGTGTTAGACAGCACATCACAACACAAAGATCAGATTTAGCAGGGGCAGGTGTATCTTCAGTGTGCGTGTGTGTGTGTGTGTGAGAAAGAGAGAGACATGACAGTTAGCTAGAATCACAAAGACCGAGTGACTGAATAAAATCTAAAAGGGTGATGCAGAGAGATTTTGCTGCCACAAAACAACACAAAGACTAGTGTGATGAACGGTGGCTCTGTGGGAGAAATTAGCTTTGTGGGATTTGGTGATTACATCGACATTGTGCCGTTTCATTTGAATATCATGTTTTTTTCTAATATTTTTGATATTAAACAATCACAGTAGCAAGTTAAATGCTTAAAGTTTTGCATAAGAAAGAAATATATTTGGTAGAGAACCTTATTTCAAATTAGGTTGATTATTTTTCAATAAATGTTAAAAATACATTTTCCCAGTTTCTTTTTTGTGGTCAGTCCACTTGTGCCGCACTCAGTGTTGTATATTTGGCTGATGGAGAGGAGAATAAGCGGAGGAAGTGAAGGGACAGAGAGCAGTGTTGTCCTGACACCGACACAGACGTCTCAGTGTTCAAATAAATGATGGTTTCCGACATAGAGGTGAACTCGGCCGCCCTGCTCTTCCAGATTAAGTACGCCAACGACACTGGTCGCCTTTACAGCAATGTCTTTCTGGGTGACCGGGCAGCTGAAAGGGTTAGCACTGTTAGCTTGGTTAGGTGTTTTAGTTTCTTCAAAGGAAAGGCCATAGGCTATAGGCCACTCAGGGTTAGCATATGGACACGCTAAAGGCAAGGAACTGGGCCACTTGAGGTTAGCATTAGTATGGTTAAGGACAGAAAGGGTTATTGACCAGTAAGGGATAAGATAGAGCACTGAGGACTAACCATGGTTGTAGGCCACTTAGGGTTAGCATCAGAACACATGTAGCAGTGTTTCTGCGCTCTTACCTTGTGAACCATGACCGGAGGAAAAGGAGAACGAACCCCAAGGTGATGTAATGATGTTTAAATACAAGGGGCTTTTCTTGTTGTTTCTGTTATTCTTTTCTCCCATCTTACTTGAACAGTGTGTTAGCAGTGCAGTGGACTTCTTTGTCATTATTTAGTTTTTTGGCATACATTTTATTCATCAGTTTTGAGTTGAATCATTTATTTGTTTTAAATATGAACTTGTTTTTATGACGATGTTGCCACAGGCTGAACTGTCTTGTCAGTTATTTTATCAGGCTGCCACCAGTGGGCAGTGGCACAAAGCTGGTGTGGGTCTGATGAGACTACAGCTCTGTCTCTGCTTTCTTTTTTATCGACCTTTATTATTATTTTACAGTCTAATATCTGTATCGCTCTTTTGTGTTTCCTGATCCTTCTCCACTCCTTCTACAGCCTTTTCCTCACCCATTCCTGTTACTGTTGATCCGACTCTCTGTCTGTCTGAATGGATGCTTGTGTGTGTCTAGACTTCTGTGTTTGTGGGCAGATGCCTTTGTGATTTGTGAATTTGAAGTTTCCCTAGAAAAATCCTCATGTGTTTCTGTAACTCTCCAGCGTCACTTTTTATACTGTAGGCCTACATAAACATAAATACACTGAGACTAATAAAAATCTCGGTTTGCAGGAACATGGTCTATCTAGAATTTTGCATTCAAATAAATTCCATTATGTGGAACATGTAATTTTTTTAAAGCCATAAATCACTTGCTAAATTACCATCAAACTTGCTGTGCCTTTGAGTAAAATACAAAACTTCATTCTGTTATTATCACCGCCATTATGTAGCAGAAATCTCTTAAGGCTGAAATGAGAATTTCAAGATGCATTTATTGGATATTCTGTGGTGTTTTGAAAGCTGATGTAATAGTGAAATATATTTTTTAAACATATACTTTAAATATTATAATTAGTAATTTGATCATATTCAATTTTCTTCTAACTTAAAAATGTTTTTTATATTAAGATTTACATTACACATATGTCCAATGAGGGAAGGAGAGCCTTGTCTGAATTTTAAAGGGAGTGAGAATCAGACTAATTTTATAATCTGAATAAGTGAGAAAGTGTTATTTTGCCGTTGTCAACACACGGCAGGTGCTAAGGGAAGGGGTGTGTGGCAGGTTTGAAGTCGATGGGCATAGGAGGGACACACACACATGCTGTGTCAACGGAAGACAAGCACATTGTGTTAGCACTTATTAAGAAAGAGGAGACGTGCTGCCTCGAGAAGACAGTGTGTGGGTGTGATGGCGATTTGCTGAGGAAGCTGAGCGACGCTGCCTCTCTAAACTCCCTGTCACATCATCTAAAGGTCTTTTTGTCACCACTGATATCTTTCATACTACTTAGTGTGTGTTTTTTTTTTTTGTCTGTCTGTACACAGCCATATACCCATAAGTTTGAGTCTTGGGGTGTGTGCATGTTTATTCACAGTGGGGTTGTGTGTGAAAAGCACAGCCAAAGTGAAACAGGAATCCATCCATTTCCTGCTTTAGTTTCAGAGTGCTTGGGACAATAAACACAGTTAATTAAAATGACTTCAAAGTTGAAGAAGTCACTAAAGGTTACAAGAAAACTTCCTCTTCTCTACAATACATTTCCTATCTGTCATTCCCTCTTATTATATCCACTTGGGTTTCCTTCCTTTTACATTTTCGTCTTTTTAACTTTCTTTTCTTTTCTGGCATTTTGAAGTAGTGCACTGATTATTATTCATTTTATTTCAAATTTTCTTTGTCATATGAAAGCTCAGATAAAAAAAAAATCTGGTTTTTTTTTTCTGTAGTGTTTGTAGAAATTTCAAGTCACATACATGCAAACACATGCGCACACACAGATACGTAAGCAGTTGCAGCTAACTCTTTTGTTGAGCGATGGCGGGATCGATTGGGTTTGATATTAAGTGACACGTGGCCTTTGGACTCACTAAATGCTACTCACTGACTGAAGCCACCATTGCTGAATTCCAATTCCCCAGTTACTTTTCATGCTTGTCTCTGCACTGACACTCACTCTGCCATTTCTTTCCATCTTTTCCCCTACTCATTTCACAAGCTGTGTTTTTAAGTGTTGTTATTATTTGCTTATTTGCGATATTCACAGCTAAGCGCTTTTGCAAAACATCACGAGCCATTATAAGACAGAGTAGATCGAGTTAGGCCAAGGTTCTGAGCTTCAGTGTAGCAGAGATTATCATGTGGTATATCAACATTGTCTGGTAGGTTTCTTTAGTAGGCTTTTTCTTAAAGTAAGAAACACAACAAAAACCTGCTGTGTCAAAGAGTTGCATTCAGTTTCAATAAAATTTAACAAGAATAAATAAAGTAAAAAAAAAACCTTACATCTCCTTTGGAGTAATATAAAATGTTCTACAGATCTCTCTTTCTCTCTCTACTTTATCTGAAGATACATTGTTTTGTTGATATACTGTATATGGAGTCTTCTTTCAAGACATTTTGCAGCACTTTTCTCCACCTGATAAGTTTTTAGACTATAAAGCACTTTGTTATAGAACCATTTGCACAAATAGTGCCTGTTATATTACAGTAAGTGGCTATAAATCATTATATGGCAGTCAATTAATATCTCAATGATGCCATGCATTTATATTTCTTATCTGTTTAGGAGGGCTATGGTGTCATGGTGCTCAACCCCAATGAGAACTACAAGGAGGTGGAGAAGCCAGCCAAGTCCGCTTGCCCACTCTCTCCTACTGAGCCCTCGGACGAACCCGCTGAAAAGAGGGAACGCAAAGATGATAAAGAAGGCAAAAAGAAAAGAGAATTTTATGAGAAGTATCGCAACCCGCAGAAGGAGACAGAGACTGAACAGACCCCTATACGGGTAAGTCGGAGAGGGAGGGTGGGATGAAGGAATTGAGAGAGGGAGGAGAGACAGAAATGGGAGACAGGAAGGAAGTGTTTAGAGAATCGGGGTGGAGGGACAGAAGGGTAGATGGTCATCAAAAACAGACAATGATGGGGGAGGTGGACGGTGTGACAGTTTAGGGTCATGGGAGGAAACAGGAGAAGAGACTTAGGTGAGAAATTAGGAGGGAGGAATTCAAGCAAGTTCAGAAGAGACAAAGGAGGCAAGAAGGTGTGGGGTGAAGGAAGGTGGGAGGCAGCTAGCTCAGGAAGCAAAGGAAGGAAATGTTAGGTAACAAGGGATGGAGGGAAGATGGGAGGCAGAGGGAGAAAGTGAGGCTCTTGTGTGGTCAGCCTGTGTGTGAAGTGGTTGGCCGTGCTCCAGTCGCCTCTCAGTGAGCAAGTGTTAACCACATGGCCACGTCCCTCTCTCCCTCTTCCTGTCCCTTTTTCTCTCTCTTAGATGGCGGGCTGGTCAGTGCAGCTCGAGCCCTTCACTCTTGTTGACCGCTGGGATTATTATCTCCCTAACACACACTCTGCAAACACACTGCAACATTTCTATCATGCTACGCTGACCATACAACCCCTAATTAAACACACACATAGACACCTATACACGTGCACGCACACGGCTTGAGGCACCTAGCTTGCCCGGTTTACCTTGTGATCAAACAAAGAAAGCGACCCTGTGCATAAATCTATTTCTGCTGTGAACAAAAACACTATGGCCACAGTGATGAGAAATGAAAACAATGTCGTCCTCTTCATAGATGCCAGCAAAAGTCACGAATCGCATCCGAAGGATCCATGCATTTTTTTTTCTTTTCTTGTTAAAAGCTGCTTCTCTGTTAAAAGATTTTCAAAATTAAGGGCAAAGTGAGCTTGACTTTTTTTCCATTGCGATGTTTCATATGAGAAAAGTGTCCTCATTGATTAGCTGTGTCTTACTTTGGTTGATGGCAGTAGCGACACAGTAATGCATGTACATTTTTTGTGTGTGGGTGGGTGTTTGCGCTTCTGGTGTGTGTGTGTGTGAAAGACATCAGTCTCTGGTGTCTGACAAGACTTAGGGCTGCTGTGGGACTAGCGAGCGGCGTGTGAGCTGTCAACACAGGTTTTTTTTTCTCACCCCCCTGGCAGTACCTTTACACACACTCTAATAAGGGATAATTAGCCACAGTGCTTTTTTATTCTATCACACTTCTTTATGTGTGTGCTGGTTTCCCCATCATACAGCTGATGAATTTGCTTTACGCTATCAGACATGAAGGTCTTATGGTAAACAATCCATCATGTCATTTACAGTAATTCAGTCAACCTAACTTGCATGCTCGGTCTGCTCTACATGTTTTAATTTAAGTTCTACAGAATTAGAATTTAAAATGCAAAACACTTTGTCATATAGGTTATTTTATTTCATGATCACAACCCTCATAAACATTTGTGTGTGTGTGCGTGTGTGTGTGTGTGCACATGTGAAAATGCCATCCACATCTTGCTCCAATTAAATGATAGGAGCTTGTATTAATAACTTGTTTTAGTTTGATGATATAACTTGAATGGTTCTCTTATCACACAGCCAGTCGCTCTTTTTCTCTATTTATCTTTTTCTCCATATACATATATATCTATTCTCCTCCTTTTCCCTCCTCTTGCCTGTAATCTTTAACACTCAGTAATGTCAGCAGTGTGATATTGCTAATATGGTCCCAACCAAGGTTTCCCTGTCCTACGAGGAGGCGTGCGGTCATATTCACATCTTGATACTGGTCTTTGTCAGGGTCAGATGCACTGAGACAAGAGCCGGTGTGCATTTAAACAGTTGATTTTTAACTATTAAACCGTTGACTTTTAACTATTTCTTTTAGTGGAAGCCAGGACAGAAAACCTAGTAACTGAAGGAAATATCATGCTAGTCTAGTGTCATGTCAGGTCACCACTCTTTTTCTGTTTAATATACTTTACGCTTTAAGATTAAAGTTTTATCACTTCATACCATCACAGTATTCTGTGTTATGTCATTTAAAAGCATACAAAGATAGAGAGAGAGATTTAAAAATGCTTTCTTTATCTATTTTTTCACAGGAGCAGGCTAATACCATTTTGCCTTCATTAACCAGCAAAATGGGGGTCATGTAGAAGGTTTAGATTTTCCAGCCAAATACACTTGTCCTTAGATGCCAGGATTGCAGGACTCAGGATAAAGATTAATGAGTGAGCAGGTTGGCTCTGTGTTGGTGCCCCTTGAATTTTGACCTTTGATCTAGAGGTCAGAAGGATGTTAGTGTGTGTGACCTTACCTCTATCATCCACGCCTCCTCCTGCACTGCTTTACTCTCCACTGCTCTGCCTCTGTCCACATAAGCACACATTCAGATATTGTGTGCACACACACACAAACCAGTAGACAAAAAAGTGGTGGAAAAAGAACTAAGGTTTTGACGTGTGTGCGTGTGTGTATATATCTCTTTCTCCTGCACCTCTGTTAGTCAGGGTGGGTGGTGGATCAAATCAAACCTCTTTAGCGGGGCTGTTTTCATCTTTAACAGCACCCACCCAAGAAACATGCACGCTCTCACACACAACGCTTTTTATTCACTACACCTCACACCCCAAGTCTCACTGAGCTGCCAGACCACCTGCACACAGACATTTAGAAACACACACTCAAAGACAGTATATACCCACTGCTCCTTGCAATATTCTTAAATCCAACTTTACACAGAAATACCATAAGCTTGAATTAACCCCATCTTACTTCGTATTCATACCTATGAGAGACACAAAAATCACAATTTACCCTTTCTTCTTTTACTACATTGACTCACAAACACATACACACACAAAACACACACACACACCAGCCCCTGATATAGTTGAGTTGATTAATACGCTTCCTTAGACACATTAATAAGCTCTTAACTGCTTTTAGGATTCATACTTTTTAGCCTTGGGTTCATAGTGTGCAACCTCTCAACCTTATCTAATCCCTCTCCTCTTCTCCAGATCACTCACCACTGGGCCATGTTTAGGGGGATGTTGGTGGAGGAGGGAGAGCGAGAGGACAGAGGGAGGGATGGAAGGATAGAAAGCCTGATAGGAAGGATGCTGATGAGGATAGTGGAAGGTTTGGGGGTGAGCTTTCTTAGCCATATAGAAGTTTGGGAGTTCACATTACTCTGAATTTTAGCAGTAATCCAGTTAGCTATTTTCTGTCAGCCAAGCGGAGGAATGGCAGGAACAAAAGGCACATTCATGGGCTTAAGAAGCTTCCAAAGAGTTCACCCAAGGCTGGCTGGCTGGGATTAGGCCTGCAGGCCCTGGAAAGAAGCAGGGGAAAAAAGAGCAAAAGGGACAAAACACAGAGCTTTGCTTTTCTTTAAGCACCACTTATTTTTATAAATGACTGGAATACTTTTCTTGGTTTCTCTCATAGTGTTTTTTTTAATACTTTTCCCTTTAACATCTCACATTTCTTAAATGTTCAAAGAGGGAGAGAGAGACCGAGGGGCCCTCACTCCAATAGATTTTTAAAGTAGCAGATTGAGGCTATTTCTTCTGTTCTTTCTCTCCCACTATATTCAGTTTCAGTGCAACATCAAGCATGAGAGATCTGTATGACTGAGTCCAGTGGACGTTGAATGCTGTCACTATGACATCTCTCTGCTTTTCTCTACATTTATGTGTTTGGCACAGTCATACCACCATGGAGGAAAAATACCGGGGTTCTTCAGTGTGTTGGTGTTTCCACTCAAGGCGTTGTTTATTTTCCTTTTGTTTTATTTATCACATCTTTAGTTTTTCAGTCTTCAATTCAGGTGCAAGTTATTGTGGTCTCTTGACTGCAGAAGGGGACACATGTAGTGATGCATGTAGCATGTAGACGACAGTACACTGATCTTATTGTTATGGACTGCACAGAGCGTGTTTCCTAAATGAGGCAACAGGCCCTGCCTCTCCAAAATCCATTTTTCCAACTGCAGCTGTCTGCAGGGGCGTGCTAGCCTTTTGTCCTTGTCTGTGTTTAGCAGATCATGTATTTTCTCCCTCATGTTCACACTGCTACAAAACGTCCTGAGAATTCACCAACGTATGTGCGCACACACCTATACACACATACACACACAACAAAACTTGATTATAAACTTTATAACATGGACACACAAGCCACACACACACCGGTAATTGTATATGGCATGGTGCTGCAGTGTTTCTTTATGAGACTAGGTTTTTGCTCTTTGTCACCTTCACCCCTTTGCCCCAATCTGTGGCCCACAAGCAATTATACAGACAGGGTTTATTTGACCTTTGACTTGTGGTCGTGCCAGGAAGTAAAGCTCAGCATTTGCAAGGACAGGTAGGGACTTAACCTCTGAACTTGGTCAGAGGAGAGGTCAATGACCAGGGCTAGAGGGCAGCTCACCTGCTTGCTGCAGAGAGCAAATTGGCTAGATGCCAACTTTGTATAAGGGTGTGTATTTCTGTGAGAGTGTGGTAGAGAAAAAGCTTTGGCCTGTGTGTATTGGGCTTTATGAGTTTAGTATCCATGTTTAAGGCCACAATACAAGAGCACTGTGGTGTGTGGCATGTTTGAACTTCAGGTTAATCTTCTTGTCTTAGAATTTAGTGCAGGGAGGGAGTCTGTTAGATTTTGTGCTTTTTAGTGTGAACATTTTGGGCTACGTGTGTTGTGTAGTACATAACATCCGTGTGTGTATGAATACCTGTGTGTTTGCTCAAGGCAGAACCAGTGTAGCTGGCCTTAGATCCCCTGCTCCCAATCTTCTAGTCAGGTCAACCATCAAACACATCCGTCCTGCTCTCCCTCACACCTCCCCACCCACTGATCTCTCTCCCTCTCTCTCTCTCTCTCTCTCTGCACATTGCTCTGTTGTGGATACAGGCTGACCTGAATAAAGACATACACTGACACACATACAGTAAATGTACACACACACACACACACACACACAC